GGTAGTTGCACTTTGGTTGAAACTGATTTCTTTGACTGTATCATACCTTAACCTGCACAGAATTCTTTCTTCATTTGATCTTTCGTTGACATCGGCATACTTCCTTTTCCAAAACCAATCAAATAAATGTGTGGCACAAAGTTTTTTTTAGGATCGATACAGTTTCAATAATAATCTTCATTTATTCAATAAATCATTCTTTCTGGCAGATGCCGTCTACATCTGCAAGAAAGAATGATTTATTGAATGAATGAAGATTAATATTGAAACTGTATCGATCATAGCAAAAAAGTGTGTGCCACGCATTTGTCTGACTGGTAGGTAGATGCGAACGAGAGTTCAAATAAGGAAAGAATGTAATTTTGTGCAGATCAAGGTATGATATAGTCAACGAAATTAATTTCAACCAAAGTGCAACTACCTGCGAAGACATGATTCGTCGTTAAATACTAGTATATATTTTATATTTATATATATATATTATATTTTTATATTTATTATATTTTTTATATAAATACTAGTATAATATTTTTTTTCTCATACAAGCTTTTCCTGCAAGTACGGTCCATGCTTTGCTGGCCTTACACATTTAAAATTTGCAAAGAGCTGTCATAAGCCTAACTAGTATTTATTATACTATTAGGTTGCTGCATAAGTTCTGTCCGATTTGAATTTTTTGAGTTCAAAATGTCATAACTTCTTTCAAAGTCAACCTTAGCAGTTTCTTGGGTATCGGATGCATTTTGAGACTTGCGAGAAACCTTGTTAAGGAAAAAGCAAGAACTCAACAACTTCACAGCGTTTTTCTTCAAATCTGTCTTCTTTGACATGGCAATGCTCCCTTATGAGAAATGATAGGCATTATATCTAATGATGGATAGATAGAGGAATTTTCGTAGATTATTTTGCAACATAAAGAAGCCCATAGGCTCTGCGTTGCTGAGAGATTTTTTTGACCGAGCAAAAAAGGAGCCACTTTTTGACCTCACTTTAGCACATGTGTGCATACCTATTTATGAATTATGAAAATTCTACAATGGACGTGAAGGCCGAAAAAGAATTGGTGGATGGATTCTTCTAGCTCTTCCTTTACCCTAGCACTTCCAACTTTGAACTCATCGATCACTTCTATTCGCAGGAAGTTATTGCTTGTAAAACATCTATACAGAAAATTGATATTGACAATAAATTTTACTAGCAAGACGTTTTCTTCAAGAAACGGAACTCATGCGTATGCTAGCCTATTACTCCTTTATTCCGCAACCAATCAAAAAACCCAACCTGAAGGGCGCATTTTGGAGATTTCCTTGCAAGAACATATTTCTAGAGCGAGAACGTACCTTGGCCACTTGAAGATTTTGGGTCTGAAATCTCCTTACACTAAGAAATTTATTGAAATTTGATGTGCATTAGAAAGAGCAAGAAAAGCACTTCTTAGTGATACTAACAATATCGCATTAGAGATGAAAATCTATTAGAACAGCTGCTTCAAACATAAGGCAAAAAAAATTCGGACAGAACTTATGCAGCAACCTAATACATTAGCGCTAAACACATACGGAAATCTATTTCAACTGTAACAGTATGCTAAAAGGTTTCGTCTCCAGCGATAATGTGTATTTGCCATTTACATTATCGAGCTATTTCAGTCTAGAATTTTATTTATGGGTATACAAGCTCACTTCACCGTAATAAATACGAGCTTCTTTTAGCCCCTTTCGTCGCTAGTCTCTATAATTTGAAATTCTGAACAATCATAAGCGCAGAGTCATGAAAGTTTGAACATAAACCAATGTGAAGGTTCAAATAAGACTCTCTTCTGCTACAGTTCAAGTCTTCAGAGTATTATAGATTCTATTACCAGCTCTTTTCAATTGTGCAAAGTCTGTGTTGTTTGAGTGTGTCTACGAAAAGTTATGACTTTCCAGCAAGTAACACAAACGGGCCAATTTGATTTATTTTGGCATTTTCAGGGAAATCATAACTTTTCATAGAAAGGCTTAATCGGCGCGAACTTTGCACTGCTAGAAAGAGCTGTTAAAAGAAACTACAATATTGACTGCTCCGATTTTTGTTGCAAGTTTCCGATTTTCTATAACCCTTCACGAAACAAATTTTGAGTAATTTTGGTTTTCAGCTTCTATCTCCTTCATTTGTCACAGTAAGAACAACTGGGGCACCGATGCAAAGAGCATGAGTTCCTCTCTTACATAAAATTTGGCCGTACAAATCCGTTGAGAATCTCAAGAGTTATGAACTTTTGAAAATGATGCGAACGAATTTTCGGGACAACTTAATATACAGGGTGTCCCAAAAGTGAGTACACACTTTTCAAACGTCAATATCTCTCTTCCCAATAGGTCTTTTTTCGCCGTTCAAGTATCATTATGTGGAGGAGGCTTCAGCTTAGATTTACCGTATTGAGCAAATCACGACCGCTCTTCTTCACTGTAGGATTACGGTAAGAACTTTCAGCAAGTACAACTATTGTGAAATATGCCATCTGACAAAAACTTTTTCAAAAAAGATGAAAAATAGTGTACTAAGGTTTTCGCGCACGCTGATTCCACTGCACTACTTTTTATGAGTGTTTTCAGCTTTTTTGACGGTGTAATCACATTTCTGACAAATATTGAGAATTTGGATATTACGGTTTACCTGGAATAACTTTAGAAAGAAGCATCATAGTAAAGTGGGAATTTCATATTTGAAATCAGCAACTCCCATTACCATAGTATAGAAGTTTCTGGTTTGTTTGGTTTTGTTCCGAGGCAGAATATAGCCTCCAATGGCGTGAAATCCTTGTCGAAGATTCTACAGTTATCCTACAGTGATGAAGATCGGTCGGTGGTTCGCTCAATACCGTAAATCTAAGTTAAAGCCTTCTCTACAGAATGGTACTCAAATAGCGAAAAAAGACACAATGGGAAGAGAGATATTAGCAATTGAAAAGTGTGTACTTACTTTTGAGACACCCTGTATATTAGGTCGTTCCGAAAGTTCTTTCCGTTTTTTCAACCTTTCATAAAAACACGTGGAATGAAGATGGGGAAATGCTTTAGGCACTTTCCGACGCAGCTTTTCTTCCTCTTTCTATCACTCATACTTCTCATGTCGCTTACTCTTGTGATCACTGAGATAATCGACGAAATTTTTGAACCCATGGTTTTTACCATGTCCATATTTGGCAATTTTTCACAATCTTTATTTTTAACTTTCGAAGGAGCTTTGATGGCAGTCAAATAGAGTAAACAAAGTGCAATGCAAAGCAAATTTTTGGCATATCCAGCTGGCTTTTCAGCATTTTTCAGGATAATTTTTCCAAAAGTCTTCACTTTTGCAAAGCTCTAAAATACAGAAACGCCCCGAACACTGGCAAATCTACGGATTTAGAAGCTTTTAAAAGTCCTTCATGATTGTTCACTATTTTTACAAAGTAACTGAGTAACCAAAAGTGGAATTTGATAACATCAGAAAAATAATTCCAAATAATTTTTGAGGCTAGCTATATATGCTGAAAAATGCATTAAATTGCACTTTGTCTACTCTATCTGGCTGCTCAAAGCTTTTCCAGAAGTCAAAAAAGAAGATTGTAAAAAGTAGCCAAAGTTGGACATGGTAAAAACTATAGGTTCGAAATTTCGGCCATTATCTCACTGACCACAAGAGCAAGCGGCACAGGAATAGGACTATTGAAAAGTGGAAGAAAAGCTGCGTCGGACAGTGCCTAAAACATTTTCCTACCTTCATTCCACGTGTTATGATAGGTTGAAAAAACGGAAAGAACTTTCAGAACGACCTAATATACAGGGTGTCCCAAAAAATGTGCCTACTGTTTGATTGTAAATAACTCTCTTGTAATGAAGTGTTTCGAGAGGCTTTGGGTACCACTTTGTAGAGCGAGGTTGAACTTAGATCTACCGTACGGAGAGAATCATCTATGTCTCTTCGTTACTGTAGGATTACGGTACAAACTTCGACAAGGATTTTAGGCCATTGGAGGCTATATTCTGCACCGGAACAAAACCAAACAAGCCAAAAACTCTTGTACTACGGTAATGGGAGCCGCTGATTCCGAGTTTGAAATTCCCATTCTACTGCGATGCTTCTTCACAAAATTATTCCCATTAAATCGTAATAACTCAATTCCCAGTATTTGTCAGAAATGTAATTACACCGTCAAAAAAGCTGAAAACACCCGTAAAAAGTTGTTAGGTGGAATCAGTATGCGCGAAAACCCTAATACATGATTTTTCAGATTTTTTGAAAAAAATTTTATTAGGTGGTATATTTCACATTGGTTCCATATGCTGGAAGTTCTTACCGCAATCCTACAGTAATGAAGAGCGATCGATGGCTCGCTCTATGCTGTAAATCTAAGTTTAACCTCGCTCTACATAATGGTAATTAAATCTTGTTGAAACACTTCAGTTATTTACAAGCAAACAAACAACAGCAACAAGCAACACATTTTTTTGGGACACCCTGTATAGGGTTAGCACATAAGTTTTGCAACTTTTTTTTATAACTCGTATGTTTTGCAATGTGGCGCTTCTATTTTCTAATATTATAATTATGGTATTGTTCTGCCACGTGCCAAAAATTTGACATGTCATCTACATGTTTAACAGGCTTCACCAAGAGTTCTTGTTACCCTACCTAGCAATGTAAGTTCATTCCGTTTTTTAGTCAATTTTGACCTCATTCTGATCAATCAGTTTCAAAGTGAACATTGCCATAATAATAATGACATACTGTCATCGATGAACAGATAGACTTGCTCAAGACAGAGAAATGCGCCAGGATTCCGTCATTTGAAAGGCGAAATAAGAAGCAGCAAGGCACTTCAGCTATCATTTATAGCCTTTTCGGCTAAATTCGCACGGCGACAAGAGTTGAAGAGAAGTCAATTTGAATCACTGCTGAAAGCAAGCAAGATGTTGAATAAACTCATGATTGTTTTGCACTCATATAAAACAGGTAAATAGCTTTAAAATGATCACAGCTTTTCTTTTATTTCACCGGAAATAATTTCAAACATGTCTAAATGTACTAAATCCAGCAGGTTTAAGTCTACACATGTACTTGTCAATGGGGATCTTCGGCAATTTGCTGAGCACTCCTGGTCTTCTTCTTATTTGTTCAAGGATTGAGCATTCACCAACGTCCACAGCAGAGAGAATCTGTAAGCATTAAAGTAATGTACAGTCTGTAAGTCTAAGGAGTAAAATGGCAAACTAAGTCCTCTCTTGCTGGTCAACGTACCACTAAGATGGTAAGTGACAAAAAGGTAAGGTTGAAAATTCTCATTCTTGTCGAACTGACGTAAACTGCCTGGAAAAAATATTTCGAGAAAGTGAGCGGTACATAGAGGGTTTGATAAAACGACGAACAGACGAAACTTCTTTGGCGTAACTGACAGAGAAACTAATGGAGTATGGGACTATATTTCGCCGGAAATGGGAGGTCCAGTTGGACATCTGCCACAAATACATCTTTTAGTACATGCACAGGATGAGTATCTGCTGCATCGTCGAAACCCTCCCACTTTCAGCGACATATAGTCCTCTACTAACAAATGATCTTCTGAGTGCAAGGTAAAACACGAGTTTACAGATCAAGTCCTACCCAAAAGTTCTCGGTTGCCAATATTTTCTCTTAACTCTGCAAAGCTATAGAATACTGATTGGGTTGTTTTTGAGCCATAGCAGACCTTAGAAACTTCTTGTCAATTTTTCCTAGACACTCAGACAATCAAATCGGAAAGTTCGCGACCTCAAAGCGCGTTACATGGAGCGCCGCGGCCCTTGAAATTTCAGCCCCGCATGCCGCGGCCCATGTATATTTTACCGGGAACGCCGCGGCCAACTTGAAATTGGGAAGAATCGAGAGGGTCACGGCCTAGTCACCTCACATAGCGGGCCGCGGGCGTTATGAAAAGCTGCAATTCTTACACGCTGTAGAGTAAGGCGCAACCTGCGTGAGGTACGCCGCAGCATTGGGGCTACCCTAAGTGTTTAAGAAGCTGGGTATCACCTAAGATTTGGTCCTGTATGACAGAATTGAGTTATCATGATTATGAAATAAACTCCAGCAGTCAGTTGAGGACACTCGATGATGTCGACAGATGGGCTAACGAGTTGCTCAGTTTGCACTCAAGTCGTCATTCTGAAAGACAGATTAAATAGTTTTTCACTCTTCCTAGGTCCTATAAGCATGCTATTCGGGTCAACTATAGGCGCCTAACGGGCACTTACAGGATGTGCCGCGGTCACTCGGTCTAATATATGGGTTTACCGGGCAGCTCGCGGCGTGGATGATTGGTGGTCGGACAAGCACCCGCGAAATTCCCGATGCATTTGTCTGAGCATGCTCATGCTTAAAAAAAGAAATTTAATGAAATGGATAAGAGGATGATTAGATAGTAATTGAAAGTTGGGGAGTTTCTGATATTGTCATAATCTTTTCAATCGAGATGATTCCTCTATCAAAAGAGTTGCTGAAAGCAGTACACAAAAGTTTTGCCTTGATCCAAACCCACCTTCCTTATCTGCGATGTCGGACTATGGGAAAATTATAAGCGTTCAAAAGACCAAAATTTGCAAACATTTTGTGCTACATCCTCAAGAACTAGTTGTTTAAAAACACCTGCTGTGTCTTCGGTGAATGTGAGCACCCCTTGAAACCTGTACACTAAATATCTTGCAAGTCATGCACTCCCAAGTTAGATCTTATAGCATATAATGCAGAGCACCAGTGATTTCATAGATTTAAATGATTTTCTATCAATCTCCAGCTAGCTGTTCGGGACATTTTTAACGATTGCCAGAACAGGAGAGAACGCCAATTTCTTGTCACCAAGCTTCAGAATGTCCGATCTAGCAAGTTTGGCCATGTCGAGCAGCAGAGCCCGGTCTCGACAGGTCGGGCTCCGCTGCCCAGCTGCCCGACATGGCAAAACTTACCAGATCGGACCATATTCGCCAATAGAAAAGCCCATCACCAGCTTGACTTCGTTTATCGCTGAGGTCAGTGCCCGCGTTTGTACTGATGTTACCTGTACAGGAATTCTATTCCTAAATAGGGGACTGATAAACGCGCCTAGTATTTGCCTCCCCTTTGCACGTTGGGCTGAGCGATTGCAGACATCCGGAAGTCTTGGTGACTTATCAAAACTAACTGCAAGCCTAGTTCAGTTTTTAGCCTAGTTCCTAGTTCTTGTACGCCACGTATATATCATACGTTGTCATACGTGGCAGAGGTTGGTTGCGGGAGACTACAAAGAACAACAAACGGATTCTTTGCAAGTGCTCCGCCCAAATACACCGGGGAGAAGAACGATAGCAAGACTAATTTGAGTTGTGCTGCAAAGATGCGAAAGTGAATAAAAAATTCTTCAACGTTCGATATTTATGAGCATTTGACATCTTCTAACTGAATGACTCCCTCTGTATTGCAATAGCCGAAAATTTTCAAGATGCGGACATCTTTAGTAAAATCTATACCACTGAATTCGTTTTACACGTATAACACCTACGTCTGTCTTTTCTTCAACTCACGAAAAATACTGTGAGTTGCGCAGACTTGAAGTGAGATGTACCTTCCAAGCGTAATATGATATCCTAATCACAGTCCGATATTCGTATAAAAACGCTTGCGCGAAAATATTAGTTTAGCCCGAAAACTTGTTAGCACCATCTTGAGAAATTTATAGGGTCTTATATTCTGAAGAGTTTCCGAAATTCTTCTTCCTATTCCGAAATTTTGAAATTGTCTGAAAAAGATTTCATGTACTTTACAAAAGCATTTGAGATACTTTCTAACCCGCAAACACAGCTGTGATAGATTACGAATAAAATTTGTAGGGTTGCCAGAAATGTGAACCAGGGCCGGGGCGAAGGTAGCAAATAGTCCTTTGTGAAGTGATTAAGCCTTTGCCGCTTTGATTTCACGATTTTCCCCTAATCGCACCAACTGCGCAGGCTATTTGATTGAAGCGCGTTTTTCTCAAAAGCCGAGACCCATTTTTTTTCGAACTCCAGCAAAGAGGAGAGGAGATGTTGAAGAGGAAGTCGCTCCAATGATTACCCAAACGTCAGTATTCTTGCATTACATACAAGAACTTATATACTCTGCAAACTTTCAAAGTATTGACCTCTACTCTGCATGAAGGGTCGCTAGGGGATCGTAAAGTCCACACATGAGTGCCTCGGTGCTGACCAAGAAGCAAAGCGCAAGGTTGTGAAAAGAAGAAATTTTATTGTTGACTCTGGAATTTATGGTATAAATGCACCTCTTCAAATAAAGGCTGGGCTAGGATACCAGAAAAGAAAAGATCAACATTTCCGTTTTATCTATCACATAGTACTTTTGTCGGCATTGTAAGCGGTTGCAAAATAGGGTAATATTATGTTGACTGTAATGGACTCCGCTGAAGAGTTGCACTCGATAGGAAGGCTCGATAGGAATATTTGTGGAAGGCAAGCCCTACAACATGTGAAGTGAGAAATCAAGAGCGTATGACCGACACGGGCACAAGTTCCTTTCTTACACTTATATAGCCCTGTATCAGTCACATGCGAATACTTCTTTTAATCGCTTGTACGTAATCAGCTTTGAAGATTAAGATAATTAAAATCTCTTGATAAACTGTAACAAAAAATTTTGTTAGTCCTTGAACCAACCCGCAACTCGTTGCTAAGTGTGTCTGTTGCTTGTGAGCAAGTGCGTCGAATGACAATCTAACGATGCTTTCGGAGCTTCCAGATGATTCTGTCAATCGATCTAAGGGAGTTCTTTGTTTAATCACACGACAACCATTTAATTACCCCAGTCGCATTGCCATTGATTAAATTTTGCAATGCTCAAAATCAAATGATTCTTTTATGAATATGGTGCTCAAGATTATTTTTTACCGAAACGTTAGATGTCAAAAATCGTCAATGTCAAAATTGTCAAAAAAAAATTTTTTTAAATAAAGTGTCGCGCAAATACTCACTTCGCTAAAGGCTTGATGAATGAGCGCCCAAAATTCTCCTCTCCACAATTGGCTTTTTGATAACATGCTGTGAATTTATGTCTGAACATGTAAATGCAAGCCTATAATCATAATGCCAGCGCTATAATCACCAGTGTGATACGTGTTTTGAACTCACATCAAAGACGGTGAAAAATTTGGCTTTTTGCCCTACAAAAGCAAATATTAACTTTCTTTTGTACTCTTAGTTTTCATTTCTTTACGGCCATTAGATCACATGCGTTTCTGTATGCTCCATGATTCGGAACTCCATTCTGCTCATCTTCACCTGGATATAGTATTCGGATATGGCAAACGTTTCTTCTTTCTTCAGCCAGATTTTTAGCCGATTATATTTTATCAAGTAAATCGTGGATTTGATGACAATACTTTTATCCAAAAGAGCCAAGTGATGTTTTTTAGTGATGCAAAGATCAATTATCAGATCATCTGTTTAGTGTCATTGAGAATCATTTACAGCAAGCTCCTTAGCGATTGCTGATAGATTGCATTGAGAATTTGCTTCGTCGTCTTAGTCATTTTTGCTTCTCTACAATACAGGACAAAGTATTGGGTGCTTGAATACATTGATTGCTTGTACTGCAATAGTCACCTCCGTGCCTCAAATTGCATATGATGGAATAAGTGCTTTACTGCAAACTCACTCAAATGCATAGATGCAAGTTTCTAAAAACTGTAGATAGCCGATGTGCATGTGCATTCTTTGCGGAAACTCGACGATATATAATAAATGCAGTACTTTGCCTAAAATAAAAAAATATCAAAAAATTTTTTTTGATTTTCTAAAGGACGAAAAAGCCTCTTCAGTGCTCGTCGTTCCTATTCATAATACTTGCAAATTATAAAAACCGTGTATTCCGAATGACAAATTTTTGATGTTTTTGGTGTACTTAAGTAGTCGTCACATTTCGCCGAAAATGCTAATGTAATCGTACAGTACCTTGACAGCTCACCGCAGTGCGATATGATACGTTAGAATGCGTCAAAATTTTGCTTTTCAGTTTAGGATTTGTTAATTGTTGTGGTCTTCTTCTTTCTGTGGATCCAGGACACGAATAGCACCAGTGCTTTATTGGCATTTGGTACATATGACAGAAGCGAGGAATGGAGGAATGGAAGAATGAATAATGAAGACTACGGCAAAAGAAAGCTCTTATATAGCCCTATAAGGATGGTTGTAAACAAAACAAGAGATATATATAATAGAGACTCATTTACTACATTTACATGCAGCCTAATGCCACTCTACAACATTTCCCTCCTTAAGTTAGTCACTGTATCGTTTCTTCGATGGTCGAT